TAAAACATAAAAACATCGCCCAAGACGCAACTTGGCGCCCAGTAGGTGGGTCACAAGATGGTCCCTTCGACCGAAGGGATCCCCTTTCTGTGCGTGCTTTGTCCCCGCCACCGGCGTGGTGGCGTGCGAAGACGTGCGGATCGCAACAAGAGCGAAGCACTGGACCACTCTGTTTCTGTTCAGTTCTTCTAGTTCTTTGCTATAGGCCTATAGGCCTATAGGCCCTAGGCGTCACACAAAACAGCATCAATGATCATGAAGGCATAGACCACCATCGTCGATTTTTTTGGGTGTGAGACATGTCCATCATGTGTCAAGCTATTCCACCTCCTTTACACCCACCAAGCCAGAATTGAACCAATTTCACCTGGATCTTTCATCCCCGGTCACCGCGGACCATCCCCAAAGATCGTCCGCCCCTGACTCGTCCACCGTCCCCTGAATCGTCCGCGGCTCGTCGGAACCGGCTCGGTGAGGACCCATCGACCGAGTCGCTGGTCCAACTTGTTGTTCAGATTCGGCTCCTGAGAAGAAAGGCCAACGAACACTCCGCATGGTGGTTTTTGGTTGGTGCCTTTCCACTTGCAACATCATATACAAAAAAAAGTTGTATGATGTTGTATGCATGTATAGTGGGTGCACGTGGGAGCAATCAATCTCAAGAAAAGGTTAGAACAAATCAAAAACGCCGTTGAGCGTTTGTTTTTCTTTTAGCATCTTTTGACACATCTTTTGTAACTCTTTGCACATCTCTAGGGCGTGGGGGTGGGGGTTCTTCATCAGTCAAGATGATTATATAACCATTGCGCGGATTTCCCCTCAGATCCATCCCGCTGGAGCTGCTAGAGCTGCCAGGGCTCGGTACTGGTGTACACCGCGACAGCAACTGCAGGGCCAAGGCTAATGAGCCGTGTGAGCAGCGCGCGCAGCCACACAGGGATGTGCCATTCCAGGAAGCCTTCGGTGGTCAACACGGGTCATCCACGCTCATCCACGCTCATGCTGAATGAGAAGGTCGATGACACGCCCCACTTCTGTGACCCGAACATAAAGGATGACCACCGAGATCCACCTAAAGGATGACGGATCCGTGCTCCATGCTCCTAATGATAGTGAAGATGCATTTCTGCTCTACATCTCAAGTTCACCGCCACAACATCTAGGTCGACCCTACCTCCCAGTTTGCCCAGTTTGCCCTTGAAGGAGAAATCCAAGAAAACCTCTGGCTTCCTACACTTCAACGTGCTTCCAAGAGGTGCACAGTGCTTCTTCGTCCTACGCCATTCCCCCCTCGGCCCTGCCGCGTCCCCGAGCCGCGACCGCACCACCGACCGCGGTCCCACACCTTCCAAGACATATTGCCCCGCCATGGTGCCCGTCATCGTGGACGCCTGCCCGGCAGCCAGCAGGCCCACCGCAAACATCACCTCGACGTCTCGACCGGTCCGAAGGGTCGAAGGTCGGCGCGGAGGCGAGGCACCGAAGGTTGTTGAAAGAAAGATAGAAGTGGGTTTTCAATGGCTTTCATATGCTTTCATGATTCCCTCAAGTGAATTTCAAGTGAATTTCAATGGTGTTCAATGGTTTTCATGATTCCCTCAAGTGAATGTCATGACTCCCGAATCTGTAGAATCTGCAGTGTTTGTTAATCCCACGAAACTCGAAACAGCCTCCAACAGCATCCAACAGCCCTGCTCGCCGTGAACTGTCTCCTCGAACGTCTCTGAAGCAACAAATGGTAGACTCTTGATTGGATTTCACCCCCCCGGTATGAAGAAGTTGTTCATATACATGATTTTACAATCAACATTGGGAGGGGCAGGGGTTATATATATATTATATTATTCATGAACAGTCTACCAAGTCTAGCAACTACACATCAAACGTATCAAACAGTCTGTGAATGAAACAAAGGAAAGTGACGTTCACTTCACAGTCACTGGTCTCGTCACTTCACGTGCCCAGTGGCCCGTCCAGATCTCCCGTAGCCACCAAAGAGCTGCTTCAGGGTATCCCCCGCTTGTGCCAAGCCAATGTCCCCGCACTGACCAGCTGAGCCAGTGCCCGTGACACATGCCACCGGTGCCACTCCAACCTGGATAGGGTTGGAGTGGAACAATGTGTAATTACAATACAATCGTCTTTAAAGTTACAGCTAGCAATGGCCTCCAACCTACTAGTGATGGCCTCCAACCTACTAGCTATGGCCTCCAACCTACTAGCGATGAAAGGATTTTTGATTTGGAAGAAAGGTATTTCAGGGAGAAATCATTTGTGACCACGAAATACCAAAAACGAAGCTAACAAAAGGACGTGCCAAAAGGACCTTACAAGATCCTACCAGCCAAAACAGAGAGATTCTCTCTAGTTTTCGTGGGTTCGAATCTTTCTTGATAATTTTTGCCTACAGAACCTACGTCCAAGGCGCATATTAGGATGTGTGTCCTCGACTGCACATGCCACGACAAGACGTCTGGGCGTCGGCACGCACGGACCAACAGTCAAACAGGTGTGTGGTTGTGACCGGCGAAAAAGCGGATGGAAAAAAAAAGCGAACCGATTTGACCCAAACTTGACGCTTTGAGCCAAGAGATGAAGGTTTGGGAACCAAATACTATGGGAACACAATCTATATACCAGTTCCAAAGGGGTGCTTAATGGAAGATAGTGCTGCCCATTCTTCACGCTACCCCTTTGGAACTCCCGGGCCTCGTTGGCCTCGCCCGACGCGCCAGGTAAGCATGCTAAGGGCCCACCCTCCAGTTCCTGAGTTCGGCGAAGCCGGTCTTCTAAGTGTCAGGTCTGGGTGTAGAGACCTTACGTGAGCCATACAAAAGAACGACCAAAAACGTGGCGATCTGAAGATCTGGCCATTGCTTCCCCTGTACTCCACCTACATCAACTAGTACACCACTTTGGGAACACGAAGCCAAACCACAAAGCAACGTTCAGATTCACCACCAAGCCAAACCACCAACCATTGCGGACAACCGGGTGAGTTAGCAGTGTGGAGCAATTAGAGCACCATCATCCGGGGGACCGAAGACCGAACACAGCTCCGTTCGAGTTTGCGGCCGTCGTGGGAGGAGCCGCAGAATATGGGAGGAGCGGAAGATGGAGCCCGGTCAGGTGACCGGACATCTGCCATCACTTGGAAATAGTTCACCCAAGTCTTGCGAAGGCCATCTCTGGAAATGGTGATGTCACCAGGGTCTTCATGTGCCTGTCTCTTCGCGGTCTTGTCCTTCTGGGGAAGTACATGGAAGATGTTGGGGTCCTTAGCAGTATACCCATCTAACATACCCCCAGATAAATTTTGAACGAATCCGCATACTACCATACGTCAAACAAATATTTATCAAGAGATGTGTTGAGATTTTGGGTTAATAAAGGGACAAATGGTAGGTATCCTTGAGCAGGCTCAACATCAAGTATCTTGAATAAATTTGGAAATGTTTCGGCTGGATGCCAAACCATTCAGAATCCTTCAAAATCAGAGGGACAGCAAAGACAGAAACATGTTGAACATATTCTGCAGGTTGTTGACATCAGGGCAAGGGCTGGAATAAACAACTAGACACAAAACAAAAAATACAGAATATATCCAAAGATGAGAAAACACATGATAATTGACAATAACAACTGTCATGTATTTGGCGTGTCAATTACGTTACATACACCAGATTAATTTATAGATTAATTTCTAGCACCGCATTTTCTAGTCAGCATTCAACAATTAATCCGACAAATGCACGGGTCTACCCCTTACCCCACACCCCAAAAAATGAATCCTGTGAAATTAATCCAACAAAATGAATCCAGTAGCCCATATGGTACCCAGAATAAACTTCCAAGGACCCACGCATCATTGATGGAAGGATTTGGTTTCAAGTTGGCGGATTTGCGTGGTGCCTTCTTTTCAGAATAATAAACATGATTCTCCTCTACGGACTGCCAGGGTCTCTTCCACTTCCGTGGTTGCCGCAATGTCCCACTCAACAATCATAAACGAGGGAAAGTGAAGGCTGTTGGCTTGCGAAATCGTCGACTCAAATTGCATGAATCTTGCTCTATAGATGGACAGTAGATGGACATAGACCGTAGACTTCATAGGCATCTTTCGATTGAGGTCCATGCAAACCACTTCTGAAACGTCCAACTGAGGTTCAGCGCAGGTCTCGCTGAAAAAATCCGGTCGCGAACGTAGACACCTTGGAGTCCGCTGAACTTCTCGAGGAGTTAGTCTCTGTTCAAAGCTGGTCTTGAGGAGACAAACACAACGAGCAGGATAGAAGAGAACAAATTGATTCCACGGAAATGACATCTTCATGATTGTGCATAGAGGCTCCATCTTGGTTTTGAGCTCCACTCTCAAACACAAGAAGCCACCATAAGCCACCCCCCCTCTGCGAAGGACAAGATATGGGACAACCAAGCCTCCCAATCTACCAATTACCCTGACAAGTGATTTAGCTCAATGATCGATGGCACCTTTAGTCCATAGTCACTCCCTAGGGATCCAAGTACTGTCTCAGAAGGTACAACTGGACCCTCCCGGCACCTACATAACAGTGTCTCCTTCTTCACGGTACCTCAGAGGGGCAGTGGATCCCTAAGGACTGGCGTTGTCTTCACAAACAGAGTCTCCACTCTTTGCCTTGGCCTCGGCCACAGTGACCGAGGCGCCAAGGCGGCGTTGATGAGAAAGGACAAAAGCAGGGCCTTGGCCCACAGCGTTGAGGGTGGAGTGGGAGGTCGTACATCGCGAACGCACGCAAAAAAACAAAACAGCTAGCTCCTTTTTGGTTGGCTTGAGACTCAAGATTCTAGCTGGATGAACTCTAAAGCGTGAGGTGTCGCGTTTGACTTTCTGGCTTGTTGGGGTCAGGGACCCTAAGCGAAAGAAACGCCAAAGTCTGGGACTTGAGTCGAGTCTTCCACACGAGCAGCAATGGCCGCATCGACTGCGGTGTACTTCACGCCCTGCCTCACATGCCTCAGCGGTCCAATAAGACCCTTGTCGCAACCAGTCCAGTCCAACTTCTGGAACACCAAAAACATCTGTGTCCACTGAAGACATCAGCCCAGAATCCCAAGCACATTAATTAATTTCTACCGTCAATTTGTTTAGCTTTTCTCTTGGAACACCCCAGTCACTGGCAGCTTGATGCTCGGTTCCACAACTCATACCATCCTCACAAAGATTGGCTTACCTTCTGCACGGTTGCCATCCATGAATACCTCCTTGTAGTCAAACAGATTCTCTCGGGTCAAAGGGATTTTGCTTCACACGCAAAGATGTTCTGCACGGCGGACTCGCAGAATTCTGAGACAAAGAGCTCATCATCACTCCGGTCGCAAGCGCGCTGCTTGCAGATGCCGCTGTGGAGGTATAAGTTGTGGGGCATGATGCCACCGCCTATGGTCCCCACCATCTGCACCTGTTCGCCACCGAATTCTGCGCGAAAGTCTGCGGTTGGTCTGCTGGGATGAACGCGGATGGGTCAAATCACCCACGAAAAGACATGTTGTTAGGGAGCCAGGACCACCTACAGCCTGTCTGCCTGGCACCCGGAGGTCCACCCAATCAGCACAGATCAGGGTCCACCCTGATGATTGCACACAGATTCTCCGCGCAGCTTCTGTGCCACATGCAAAAGACTAGTGATTCTTGGTTTCTCCCTGTTCCCTCACCTTGAGGATGACCATACACTACAACCTGGCAGTTGTTTTTGTTAGACCCCTCGGAGTCAAAAAGACACGGGGGGGAATCCGGGATTCATTTCCTTTCAGCCGATTTCAAACAGTCTTAACACCCCTCCACCACCTACCCCACTACCACCACCGCCACCGCCACCACCACCACCACCCTCAGTCCGGGATCAGCATCACCCCTCCACCCTATGCTCCATCGGCAATCTTCATGTTCACCCAGTGATTCATCCGATGCTTCATCACCAGTCGGCCGAGTTTGGTCGAGAGGCAACGGCGTAGTCAGGCACTTGGAAGCTGAATCCGCCCAGAAGCCCTGCAGCCGAGGGCGGCATGTAGGCAAAGTTCATGAAGAAGCCTGGTGGGTCGAGATCATGAAGAAGGACATAGATCATGGCCTAATGTAGACTCTTGATTAATAACCCCCCATTTGAATGGAACATCCTCTTCATATGGGGAGTGTATGGTCCTCAAAGAGTTTACAACTAGAGTTGGGCTCGACCTGGCTGACCGGTCGAGTGGGACCAGTCGCTCCGCCAGGACCGACTGGAAAAGCCCTCCGAGGATCCGCCGATCCGGCGCGAGAGGCAGGGGACCGGAGGTTCCGTTTCCCGAAAGCAGAAAGAATGAGAGTCTAATGAGAGAAAGAGTAAGAGATCTGAACAAAAAGCATCAAAAAGCTCTAAGATGCTCTAAGTATCTCTAAGTCAGGTGAACACCACAGAATTCCATTCATGCTACGTTCGCAACAATTTCAACTGGGAGGATCCAGCAGGTAGTCGTTGAAGACCCACTATAGTACACCAGGATTTACTTGGCTGCAGAGTGGTTTTCGACGGCCAGCAATTGGAAGCAGCCATAGTTTCAAAGTGTAAGTTGTAGACTGCACCTCCTCCCCCAGGAATCAAATCACCATTGTCAAAAAAAAGCTCATCAACAATTTCCTCCTAGCTTGCTGCTTCCACACAAAAAAGGTTTGCTAGAGCAAACTCCATGAAGCAGATGGTTGTGATGAAGATCAAGAGCAAAATGAAGGCCTCCAGCCACCTGACGATGCCACACACAAAAAGAAGTGGTGCACTTAACTTAACTGTTAAGATGAGGAAAACCGGAAAACCAGCTGAATATACCCGAATGATCTGGGCGAACTCTATTCCCTCTGTGAGACCTCTCTGTGTGTGTGTGTGTCGTGTGTCATGTGTGTGTGTGTGAAGTATCATCTGGCAGCTAGACCACTGGTTCAGGACCAAGACATACAGTAACACGACAATCATATCAATCAATAAGGAAAAACACATCATGGTGGCCAAGAGAATCAGGTGACGTTGCATGGTCTTCATGCGACATGTGTACCTCACTTTGTCGAAGAGCAATCCACCTGAAACCACGCGTCACGCAATGGCTAGTTGACAAGATTGCATCTTGCGAGACTCATTCACATGCGAGTTTCCTCGGATTTCTTCATGCAATGTCTGGCAATAAAGACAACACCATCCAGTGTACACAAGACCCTGAAGCAGAATCCGTGGGTAGAAAAATTGCTAAAATGTGTCGAGCCAAAACAACGGGTGGCCTAACTATTCCCTAAAGTAAGACTTGAATTTAACATAGTTTAACAGGATTCCTCTTTGTGGGTCGCATCACCTTGCACCCCACTAGTCCGAATCCATCCACCAGTCCGATCGAGGCCTCTTCCCCATGTAGTGGATCATCAAGAAGGTGAAGGTGTCGAGACCCGTAAAGAGGGAGCCTAGCCAAAGGGGCCAACCCAACCTTGGATACAAGAAGGCCGTGGCTTTTCTTTGGACGCAGAAGGCGATTCTTTCGGCGTTTGTTTGACCCCAAAAACAAGGGCACCACACAAATATGACACCAGAACATGAAAACAAACAAATTGTATAGAACTAACGCGGCCCGTCACCTTCACCACCTCACAACCATGCCAGTATTCCCCAGCCTTTCCCCTTTGCAAGCTATCTTTGGTGAGTCGGACTCGTCGGACTAGTTGGGGAAAGGCTGAAAACCATTGAACACCTGCCAGCGAAAATGATTGGCTTTGGAACCGCGATGCCAGGCAACAGGACTTTCAGCGCTATGCCGGTACCGACCACCTCCTGCGATAGCGATAGCACGCAGACCGCACGTCCGATCGACAGGTCCCAGGCACTCTATGCGACTGGATGAGACTGGATGAGACTGGAACTGTCCAAAACCAAGCGTTCAAAAGCCAGCAGGTTTGGCAGCAGGTTTGGGATGTCGACTTCGGGAGAATTCCATCTGGGTTTCGAACATGACTGGACATTTACAATGATATTAACGGTGCCGTGACCCAACCTCCAAAGAGTTCAGGGCTTGTCAGGGTTGAACATCAAAGGCCTTTCAAGTCTTTCGAGGAAAAGCAGAGCATAGTCTCATAGAACATCCTCGCGCCAAATCTTGAGCTGGATTATAGAAATCCTGTTGTTGTGCAAGAGCACTTCGATGAGATCACGACCAAGTTCTCCCATCCTTGGGGGTGATCGCCCGCTCATATATTAGACAAACAACTGCATTGCGAAGCTCCAACTGCCCCCTTGGCCCATCTAAGCACGCAGCACGCATTTCGCAGCTCTCCGTCAGAAAGGCACCCGAAATCGACGGAAGGCACCTGCCTGGATGTCCGCACCGATGATGGCCAACTCCGTCATCAGCCACAGTAGCAAGCTCAACGGCCGTGGATACTCTGCGCGGCACGTCTGCGCCAAGTCGCGTCCTCGCCACGTCGTAGGAGGGTGGTCGGTGAGCGTCGGTGGGCAAGGATGGAGGCGGGCAAGGATGCTTGACTGGGCTGGTTTTGACCTACCCACATCCTATTCTTGGTGACCCTGAGTCAAGAAGGACTTGAGCACAGTCTCCATGTAGGTGCAACGTACGTAGAGACCTTACCTCTCCGTCCACCAACCAACCCCGAACGCACCTTCATCCCGAAGGGCCCGAAGAGAACGCGACGAAGCATCGGCCCGATAGCCGCCAGGCCAGTTGGATGTAGCATGGATCAGCCATCTGGTTCCAACATGTTCCACACATTCATACAGATTCAGTTGTTGCGTACTCAGAATCTTCATGAACCTTCAATCTTTAATACCCATCTCCAGCCCGGGCGCTGGCGCTGACTGTTTCACTGCATGGAGATTGGATGAATCGAACTTCCGATGCCCATCCTGTGACCACTGCTAGGCGGGCTGCGAGGATTTGCAGACTCAACCCCGCCAGAGCGCACACCAGCAAGACCTGCCGTCGCTGTTCGTCGTTGAGTCGAGGTCTGGGATTTGCTGGAGCTGGGAAAGAAAATATTCTATTCCCCACAAGAAGAATTCAAAAACTTGGTCTAGGAAAAATAACATAATTAAACATAATCTTGAACAAAACATAGCAAAACCAGTGATACGGAAAAAATGTTTGGACTCCAAACATGCATGGTCCATCTTTTTACGCATGACGGCTTGCGCGAGATCCACGTCCAGTTCGTTCCATGTGGGGAAACCCGGTGATGGAAGTGTGCTCCACTTTTTTGCTTTTCCGCTCGTGTCAGCTCTTTGCCCCAGGCTTGTTCCGCGTTCTTTAAATCTCATCCTAGCTATATAGGCAAAAAGAACATAATAAACAAAAAAAAAGCAATCCGTAGGTCAAAAGCACCATTTTTAGGTACCTCATCCACTTTTATGTTTCTACAATTTTCTTATTTTCTACCTCCATTTCCAATCCCAAGGGCTGGCGATGATGGATCTTTCCTCCAAGAGGCCCACAGAAGGCTGTAGCCAGCAAAGGCTCCGCTCTGCAAATCGCCCCTTAATCCAAGAAATAGACGTGTCGGTACTCTCTTTCCACAAATTGATCATACATGAATACCAGATCATACAAGTACCATATATCCATCCATAAGAAATCATAAGAATCCAGGCCTGAAGAGAATGGAAAAGGCTTTAGCTACTGAGCGCTTGAGTGCAGCTCAGCTCGGCACTCGAGGTTCCCTGGGTCCAAGTATGCCAAGCTCATGAGCCATCCAGGGCCACAGTAGGCCATGAAGGTTCGCCAGGAGAAGCACCGCTCCACAGGGTCCTTGGGCATCAATTCCACCTCACCAGCGCGACGAGAGGCGTCCAGGGAGATCGTGTGCGACGTGTTAAACACGTCTTCCACAGCTGGTAATGACATGACAGCGACTTTCCAACAGGTATTTATGAAGATCCATAGAAATCAAGTCCACCAACTAAAAGAGTTCTTTAAAAAAGCTCTTATGATTTATGCATCCCACCACGAACCTGCTTGGTCCCATCACTCATTCGAGGCAAACATGCCTGCCTTCTCAAGTTTGAGTAAGGAAAACATTGAAAAACACGAAAAGGAACAAACGCGAAAAATGCGGGAAGATGAAGAAGCGCAATAAAGAAGTTGCGCTTGTAAAGACGGCTCTGTCCAAAGCTGCGAAGTTCGCAAGCTTCCCGGGGTAGATTGATCGACTTTGATCTGAAATCACCCCATTGCCGCCATTGCCCAAATCACTGTCGGCCGTTGGCTGATGATGGGTAATTAAATCTGAAAAATCATACGATGTGAGCCCATGTTCCATCCTCATCCCTGCTCCAATAATTTGGTGATACATATGGCAGGCTCACCCCGAATCCCAAGACATGTACAGGGGCAAACCTGTGGGCCACGGGTGCACGGACTGAGATTAAAATCACATAAAATCACTGTTTGGGGGATTTCAAACGCAGGACAGTTCCAACCCGTAACCCTCAACATTGACACCTTATTATGACTGTTGGATCAAAAAATGCTCAGGTCATGAACAACAACAAATCAACAACTTCTGATCCAACCCGTCCAACTTCTCAATACTTGTCCCCCCTTTCCCCCAAAAAGGGTGCACTACATCTTCTCTCAGCCCAAGCACCAGCAGTCAGTACGGAACTTCTACCCTCCCCCCAACCAAATCTGCCGAGAAGTTCCATCTGCCCACCACCCGCACGCCGCTTCACCGCGACGAAAAAGCCAACCTGATCCATGAACTGCAGCCCTCCGTCGTCATCGGAGCACTCCGATGAGACCAGCGACTCCGTGGCATCCGCGTCCGCCATGGGCGGCGCGGCACCCCCAAGGGGTCACCGAGGTCGGGCCGAAGAAGCATGCTGGGAGCCGGCAGAGGTGAGGCAGACTGGGAAAGGTGAGATGGAGCTCTTTGGGTTCATTAATATCTCTTTCAAAGCACACGGTGGCCCTGTGGATTCTTTGAGCAATGGTGTTTCTTTGGCTGGCTTTGTCACTGTCTCCATATTGGTAGATGACTAAAATGGAAAAGTGGCTGGAAACCCGCGAGCAGATCAAGACCTCCGCGTTGCTCCGCTGGGCCTATCGAACCGCTGATCCGTCCCAGAAATCCAACCGGTTCCTGCGGACCATCCAAGCAAGTGTCCAATGGGCATTTTATTCAGTGGTCTGCAACAGAGACCCCATTCAATGGTCCAATATATATATATTATATATAATATATGCATTGTATATTATATATTAGTTATACAAAATATGTATAGATGTTTTTTCCCAAGTACGTAGCGAAGGGTTCTCGTTTTATCAGGACGGCTCTCTTTGTTGTTTCCAACTGAAACAGCTCAGCTGGATCCCACCTTTCCTTCTGCCAGGAAACGACTTGAGCCACGTCGGTCTGCCACAGCTCGGGTGGCAGCCCCCGCCAGAGAGGAGAAGGAGATGCTGCCAGCCCTGGAGAAAGAGATGCCACAGCTCCACATGAGCGAGGGAAATAGTTTACCCACCCCATTCGTAGCGTCCTTGCTCCTAGTAGCGATTCCAGCAGCCCCGTTCGTAGCGTCCTTGCTCCTAGTAGCAAGGCCAGGAGCTACCGTTTTTGGTCCACCTCTGACGAAAAAGAAATGATCCTCAGGTACCAAGAAAGAAGGGTTGTTTCATGTCATCGGGTATTTTGGGACGTCCTAAACCCCTTTTCTTTTGCATCACGTAGAGAAACCCACTCAGTCGACTTCCGGAGTGGAGGAACCTAAAAAAAAGGATTGATATTTTTTCCGGGACTTTATTTCACATTTTTTCCTGAAGTTGTTTTCACGTTTTTTCCCGTACTGTTCTTGCTTTTGCTTCTGCTGGGAGTGCTTTACAAGCACTAGGAGCAGGAGAAAGGGCAGGGGACGAAGCACCAAAGCCAGCGTGGCAGTGACAAAGGGAGGGAACAGAAAAGGTATTCCACTTACTAGGGACTTCTTTGCGGTTGTCTTTAGCTTCACTGGTTTCGGGTTTCTTTGGGCTCGGTTTCTTGTCTTTAGGGTTTCTTTAGGCGTTCTTCCGGAAAAGGCATCCCACTTAACTAAGGAGAAGTAGGAGGAGAGAGGAACTATAATGGGGACTTTTCTGCGGTTGTCTTTGGGTGTCAGTGGTTTCGGGTTTCTTTGGGCTAAGCAAAGTAGAAATCCACCTTTGTGGCAGCGTCAACGCAAAGAAAGTAGTAGTTGTGGTAACTGTGGTAAGACTCGTAGCGGGGTGGTCCGAGTGATAGAGGTATTGGAAATAGTAGGGGTGGTGGACGGTAGTGGCAACTATTAAAAAAAAAAAAAGAGCGGGAGGGGGGGCGGGGGA